GCCATCATTGTTTGGCGGGCCTGAGCTGGGGATTCGAACCCGCCACCTTAGGTGTATGTGGCTGGCGCCTTAGCCGCTTGAGCCACAGGCGCCGATCCAGCTTTTATTTTTTTTTTTAGAAATCTGTCGCCCTGTTGTCACAGTTCATAGCAACCTCAAACTCTTGGGCTTAAGCGATCTCTTGCCTCAGCCTCCCAAATAGCTGAGACTATAGGCTCCTGCCACTAAAAAAATAGCAATAGTGCCTGGCTATATATATATATATTTTTTGTTAAGACAAGAGTTCTACCCTATGCCCTGAGCAGAGTTCAATGCCGTCGTAGCTCACTGCACCTCAGACTCAGGCTGTGGGCATCCTGCTGCCTCAGCCTCAGACGTCACTGGGAGTACAGGCACTTGCCATGGTGCCCGGCTGGGTTTTTCCATTTTTTTTTATGAGTTGGGGTTTCGCTCTTGCTCAGAGCACCCAGCTATTTTTTTCTTGTAATTGTCGTTGTTTAGCATGCCTTAGCTGGGTTTGAACCTGCCAGCCCCAGGTTCAAAGAAAGAAACAAAACAGAAATATATGTTTCTGTGCTTTTTAATGAAACAAACTTTGAACTGATTCACCTGAGTCTAAAGTAATTGATTTTGAGGGACTTTTAATCGGAAATGTTTCATTTTTCTGCATTTGTGTTTACAGTGAACTTAATGTTTGCTTAGCTTTTTTTTTTTTGAATAAGTTACTTGTTACCTACAGTGTGAAGCCAACCGAAGTATATGTATGTTGGTGAATGCATAGAGTAATAGAATACATATAGCCTTTCTTTGATGCTTTGTCTTAACTTTAAAAATACTATGTAGTATTTTTACCAGTATGAAGACCAATTGCCATATTGGAGAACTTCTGTCAATTTGGATCCCTGCCTGATTTCAACCCGGCCCACCTCTTCCTAGTGTTGTTATAGACAGTCTTTTTTTTTTTTTTTTTTTTTTTGGCTGGGGCTGGGTTTGAACCCGCCACCTCTGGCATATGGGGCCAGAGCTCATACTCCTTTGAGCTACAGGTGCCACCCATAAGACAGTCTTTTAATTATCACTCTACTTATCTGTTTCCTTCATTAGATTTTGTACTTGGGCAAGATTTGTCCTCGGCAGTTAGTTATAGTGCTTGGTCTAGAGAGGGCGAGTATTTGTTGGCTAAGTGGATAATGCGAGTGAGTTTTGCAGAGATGGGAGCCACAGTGTGTCTTCTCCTAGGCACAGTTTCGCCTGATGCTACATATCCAGATGCAGCTGTGTGAGCTCTCCCTGTGGGATTGGATAGTGGAAAGAAACAAGCGGGTCCAAGAGAGTGTGGATGAATCTGCCTGTAAGTACATACTGGGGTGGGAAGTGAAGACAAAATCAAATCTTCTCTGTCTAATGTAGGAATTGCCTCTGGGGGCTTTAGATTAAAAACAAAAACAAATGTGGTGAACCCAAAGAAATAATTTTGCTTATTTCAACATTTTTCAAAAACAGGTATTTGGAAGCGATTTTCTCTAGTACTATATAGTTTGTTGATATTTAAACAGTAATAATACTGGAATTTAGGTTAATATTTGTAGAGAGAAAAGGTTTAAGAAAAATTTTTTTAACACAATAGAAATTTATTTCATGTTCACTAATAGGGTCCAAGTTGCCTTTTTAATTTTCTAAGAGACAAAATTAAATACTTGTTTTTTATTTTATTTTGATTTAATTTATTTTATTTTTGAGACAGAGTGTCTCTCTGTTGCCCAAGCTAGAGTGCCATGGTGTCAGCCTAGATCATAGCAACCTCAAACTCCTAGGCTCAAGAGAATCTCTGGCCTCAGCCTCCTGGAGTAGCTAGGACTATAGGCATGTACCACATTGCCTGTCTAGTTTTCTTCTATTTTTAGTAGAGATGGGGTCTCGCTCTAGTTGAGGCTGGTCTCAAACTCCTGATCTCAGGCAGTCACCCTCCTGGGCCTCCCAGAGTGCTAGGATTATAGGTGTCAGCCACCTCACCTGGCCTTGTTGGCTAATTATTTATTTATTTATTTATTTTGGCTAATGTTTTAAAAATACTATAACATGGTTTCTCAACTTAGGCTGTACATTAGAATCATCTGGGCAACTTTTAATAAGATACTGTCAATAGAAAAAGAGTGACTTTATAATGGAGCGCTGTAACATAGTGGAGAAACCTGACGCATGCTACTTTAGCCCCTGATCCAGATGAAAATCAACAGTGGCAAGTGATGTGGATAGCATATGCCTCCTTGATGTGGTGAGAGGGATACTTTTCTCTGTGATGTTTTTCTCCAAAACCCATAATCTTGGTCTAATCATGAAAAAATGTGAGACAAATCTCCATTCTATAGCAGGTGTCCTCAAACTATGGCCCGCGGGCCACATGCAGCCTGCCTAGGACATTTATCTGGCCTGCTGGGTGTTTTTGCTGCTGCTGCTTATCCTGCTTAGCAGCTGACTTGTCCTGGGGCCCACAACGGCCCTCCAGTGGTCTAAGAGACAGTGAACTGGCCCCCCGTTTAAAAAGTTTGAGGACCCCTGTCAGAATACAGTATCTGACTAGTACTCCTTAAAACTGTCACGGTCATCAGAAACAAGGATAAGTCTTGAGATACTGTTACAGACCAGAGGAACCTAAAGAGACATGACAACTCAGTATAATGTGGTATATACTGAATAGGGTCCTAGAACAGCAAAAACAGCTGGTAAAAACCAAGGAAATCTGAATAATCTGTGGGCGACAGTTATATAGAGTATCAGTATTTGTGCATTAATTGTGACAAAGGTACTGTACCAGTGTAAGGTGTTAATAACTGGGGTAGGGAGGGGGACTGGGTATGAGCTCTGTGGGAAAAACTGCACGGTCTTCTCAATCTTCTGTAAGTCTGTAAGACAATTCTAAAAAATAAAATCAGTTTTTAAAAAAGGCTGTTGTCTGAGACCACACCAGTTATTTTTATATAATTGACCTAGGATAGGTCTTAGTCTTTGGTGTTTTTTAAAAATTCTCTCGTTGATTCTCATATATAGCTGAGGTTAAAAACGACTATATTAGATATGAAAATAGCAGATTAGAATGACCTGATTTTAAGTAAAGACTCAACTGAATATCAGTTATTTGCTGTTTTTTCCTTTATTTGGTCTAAAACATAGATTAGTTAACCTACTCAAAATCTTAGACCAGCTGCCAGTAGGAAGACAGAAACATAGTATCTTCCTCCAGCAGTTCCTGGAATCAACCCAGTGCTGTTTCTCTAGTTTGCCATGTAATTAATTAGAAGGACATGCCAGAACTTTGTCCAGTTGAGTCATGGCAAGTAATGTGTTGGATATTTTCATTTCCCTATAAATTTATATCCTTTGCTTGCTACATGAGCATTATAGTTTATGTGCAAATGTCTTTATGCAAAGGAAAATTGTTTAAACCCTGTATACAATTTTTTTTTTTTTGAGACAGAATCTCACTCTTACTCTGAGGTTGAGTGTTGTGGTGTCATCATAGCTCAAACTCTTGGGCTAAAGCTATCCTCTTGTCTCAGCTTCTCAAGTAACTGGGATTATAGGCACCCACTACAACACCCAGCTAGTTTTTCTATTTTTAGTAGAGATGGGGTCTGGCTCTTGCTCAAGCTGGGCTTGAATTCCCAAACTCAAGCTATCCTTCCAGAGTACTGGCATTACAGTCATGAGCCACTGTGCCTCGCCCCTGTATGCAAGTGTTGATCTTTAAACTTCTGATTAAAAAATAAGTAATGAGTATGGGATGAGAACTTTATACCATTCAGTACAATGAATCTATCAAAAGAACAAAGGCAAAATATGTATAATGCCACTAACGTGGTGTATATTTTTCTTTAAAAATGTTTAAAATAAAAAGTTTTAGCTGGCCAGGCATGCTGACTCATGCTTATAATTCTAGCACTCGAGCAGGCCAAAGCAAGTGGATTGCTTGAGCTTAGGAGTTTGAGATGAGCTTAAGCAAGAGTGAGACCCTGTCTCTATTAAAAATAGAAAAATTAGCCAGGCATCATGGTGGGCGCCTGTAGTTCCAGCTACTCGGAAGGCTGAGGCAGGAGGATTGCTTGAACCCAGGAGTTTGAGGTTGCTGTAAGCTAGGCTGATGCCACAGCCCTCCAGCCTGGGCAACAGAGTGAGACTCTGTCTCAAAAAATAAATAAATTAAAATGTTTTATCTTTTTAGTAGTCCAGCACTGTGTTTATAGCTTTCCATCAATTCTATTTGTACATTTCACCCTTCCCAAAATCCCGTGAGCACCAGACCTGGGTTTGAATCCTGACTCTCATAGTTACCAGCTCCAGTGTTTTGGACAAATCAGGTAACTGCTCTTGGTTCGTTTCCTTATTTGCAAAATGGGATTATCCCTATTTTATAGGGTTGTCGTGAGGATTAAAACTTTTAGTGTAGGATGTAGTGGATTGCCAGGCATAGAGAAGGCACTGAGTCAGTGCAGACTATTTCCACTGGGGCAGGTTTGTGTGTGGTTACTGAATCCTCTAACTGTTGCCCTTTGTTTGGATTTGTAAGGTGGGTTAAAATGAGAACCAAGTGTTTTAAACAGACTAAAGGAAAGCAGTTACCTGAATAGTTGTAGAAGTCCAAAGCCTTTCTTGCATTTCTACCCAGATAGAGGTGAGTCATTTCACTGTAAAAGGTGGGGTCCTAACAGGGATACTTACAAGTCAAACCATTGTGTTTATATAAAGTTTTCTGTCTTGTGAAGTACTTGCTCAAGTATGTTAGATATCGTAGGACACACTTGTTCTTTTTGTGGAATCGATATGAGTTATGAAAGCAACTAGGCTCATTCAGGAGATAAGATCATGTAGTGTTTTTGTTCTTGATGGTGAACAATAGGTTTATGATTTTTTAAAAAATTGATAGGGGGCTCGGCGCCTATAGCTCAACCGGCTAAGGCGCCAGCCACGTACACCTAAGGTGGCGGGTTCGAATCCCCAGCCCGGACCCGCCAAACAACAATGACGGCAGCAACCAGAAAAAAGCCGGGCGTTGTGGCGGGCGTCTGTGGTCCCAGCTACTTGGGAGGCGGAGGCAGGAGACTCGCTTGAGCCCAGGAGTTGGAGGTTGCTGTGAGCTGTAATGCCATGGCACTCTACCCAGGGGGACAGCTTGAGGCTGTCTCCAAAAAAAAAAAAAAAAAAAAATTGATAGGGGTCTTGCTTTGTTCCCCAGCCTGGACTTGAACTCTTGAACTCAAGCAGTCCTCCTGTTTCAGCTTTTTGAGGTTTAAGACTTAAAATGACCGATCTATTAAACTTTTATTATGATATTATTAACTTGGCAGGAAAAATCCAGGTTTTTTTTCTTCATCAAGTTTTGTTTGCTTTTGTCCTATGAAATCTTTCCACCTTCTATATTCACTTACTATGTCATCATGTTAATAAATGAATTAATTCATTTACTTTTTTATGTCAGTCATCTTTGGAAAATAAGACATTCCAGATAATGGAAGCTTACCCCTTGAGCTAACATAATTTATCATTTTTCTTACTCCATTATTTGTATTAATGTCTTTAATCCACTGTGAGCTAGGATACCAGATTTATTAGCATTAAATCCCAGGATGTCAAGGGTTGAAGGGACTTAAATGTCATCTAATCTAGTCACCTAATGCCTGAGAACTACTTAAAAGTAATAGATGCTCTGAGTAAAATTAGAGGTGCTCTCTTTATGATGGCTAAGTCCATTGACTGTTGCCAGCTAGTTTGTGCTGGTTTCTTTGCTAGCTGAGGAGTCTTTCACACTTAGTTCAAGATTAAGGCTATTTTGTGGCTCGGCGCCCATAGCACAATGGTTATGGTGACAGCTGGCAGGTTCGAACCTGGCCTGGGCCAGCTAAACAATGACAACTGCAATAAAAAATAGCCGGGTGTTGTGGCAGGCACCTGTAGTCCCAGCTATTTGGGAGACTGAGGCAAGAGAATTGCTTAAGCCCAAGAGTTTGAGGTTGCTGTGAGCTGTGATGCCTGGCACTCTACCAAGGGTGACACAGTGGGACTTGGTCTCAAGAAAAAAAAAAAAGGTCTAGACCATTTTGGAGTATTGACTTTGTTGAAAATCTGAATGTTGCTAAGAGTCGAATGTTAATATATTTAGAACCACAATAACATTTATGTGAATGTAATAAGTAAAAAGTATTAGAGAAATAAAACTTTTTTTTTTCATTTCAAGGTCCTTACGTTATGGCCAGTGTTGCAACAAAAATTTTTCAAGAATTGGTAGAAGGTGTGTTCTACATACATAATATGGGAATTGTGCACAGAGATCTGAAGGTAAATGGGGATGATGAAGTCATTGAAAGTGTTAGCTTCCGTAACAGGGGTGACTTGATGTTGGTTCACTGAATTAAATGAGATTATGTGATATAGTCCATTTAGTTAGGAGGTTATCATTACTGTAATATGAAACATTGTTCTATAGGTCCAGAACATGAAAATGTTAGGCTGAATTTTAAAGCAATAATTGTTTGGCATTTGAAAACATCGTTTTTCAGGTGTTCATGCTCTGAGTACTAATGTAATCAGTGGTGCTGAAATGTACTTAGCGCTGACAGAAATGTTCATATATTATTGCAGCCTTAGAGGTAACTTTGATTCTGTACCCATCTTTAAGTGAATGTAGGAAGTTTTTTTTTCTTTTTTTGCTATCTTAAAAAAACTCTATAATGATTGTTCTAATTTTTACCCTCAGAAGACTATCAAAAAAAAGAGGAAATGTGTTTATTTCTTTGGCTGAAGAGTTTTAAATTAATTTGCTTACTTTTCAGGCAAAAATTAAATCACAGAAAAGGCATTTAAAATAAAATTTAGTAACAAAAGTTATTATCCAAATCACTTTATTTTTTGAAAAAGTTTAAGAACCAGTAGTTTGTGCGTTTGGGATGCAAAAGGTGGTGGATTAGGTGTTTTCTGGTACACGGCTAGCCAGGAAATGCAATCTGAGTTACTGAAATTCTCTGGCATCATGAAACTTTGAGACCTTATTTTAAGAGGTAAGTTATATTGTAGTAACAGTATACAGAATTCCATATCTTCACTGGGAGAAGTTGCTTCAAGTGTTGTTTGTATTTCTCACCATAAATATTTCTGATGTTTCTTTTACAGATATCTTCTAGAGATAAAGGGTTTTGGGATAGCTTTATTAGAGTTTCCCTTAACAGGTGGAATTCTGGTAGCATGATTCCTGCAGGTAGAATCCCTTGGTTGTTGGTCAGCCTCAAAGGATAAGTGTGATAAAGTAGCCTGGCAAGAAGTGTCTTATCTCTAATATTGGAACTGCGCTGAAGGTACATATAAATTGGAGATTCCCCATTTCTTGTTAAAATATTAACATTTGCTTCAAATTCGAGCAAGAGGTTGATTATTGTCCCCCTTCCTCCAAAACATGCTTCATGGATAGCTGTTTGACCTTCGTGGTCCTGGGCATTGACTTTGGCTCCGTTCATTAACAGCAAACGGATGCAGCTCATCCCTACTCCCAGCAGTCGGCCTGCTTTGCTTGATGCAGTGCACACTGCCAGCTTCAGGGCCGTGTTCCCCGTGGAAGAGACCGCACAGTTAACATTTGCTCCACAGGCAATGAGCGTTTCCATCATCTCCCTATTTAGGATATCTGCAGCCATGTGAAGGGGTGTCATACTGGATTCATTAATAGCATTGATATGGGCACCATTTTGGGCCAAAATGGAGAGAACTGGATAGGTACCATAAGTTATGGCCAGGTGGAGTGGTGAATGATTGTTGCTGTTATCTACACGAGCATTAACTTGAGCTCCATGTTCACACAAGATGCGGAGACACATTATAGCATTGTTCTGAATGTCTGTCAGGATCCTTTGGATTCTGTTGCCTGGTTTTGTCCATGTGGTAGAAGTTATTGGCCAGTGCAGTAGCATCAGATGGAGAGTGGTGAGGCCTCTCGTGTCCCTAGAATAGGTATTGGTCACAAATTACACTGAATTCTCAGTGGGAGTGCTCTATGTGAAGAAGTAATGCCTAAAAAGGCAACATTTGTTTAAGGTACTACCTTTTGATTACTTTAAGGCATTGATTCAAAATGTGCATGGTTGTGTAATTTCATAGGCTTTTATTGGAAGCTGGCAAGATTCTAGGGAGGTGTATAGAAGCCTCACATAACTGTACATGGTGCAAAGGGTAGGAAAGAGTGCCCTGGGGAAGATGGGGTAAGTATATGTAGAAGGACTTTCAAAAGACTTGCCAAGCTGGAGAGAACAGGGTCTCAAATCCTTTCCCAGGATTTTTTGGGTATGTGGTAGTAGAATGCATTGTTGCATGGTAGGGCCCAGCTTCTTTGAGCAGCCTATTTCGACTTTGTTGCTCCAGCTAGGACTGTGGTACCTTAGAGGCTAGAGCTTAGTTATTTTCTTGCACAGTGCTGGGTTGAGTTAGTAGGCATTTAGTAAAATTGTGTGGACTTGAGTATGATCTGTTTTTAACCATAAAAGTGAGCCATAAAGGGCCAGATCTCCCCCATTTACTAGGTTCTTAGTGGTTCTCTGTCTGCCTGACATTTTCACTCTAGTGTGTAGATAAGGGTTGAATCTAAACACCTGGGGTCATTAAGTTAGTGAAGCCCTTTCATCTTCATTCCCTGCTCCAATCTAGGTAGAATGAGCATATTACAACTCAGCCCTCATCTCTTAGGATTGTTTCCAAAATTTCTTTGTCTTGGCAGAGAAAAGAGAATGTTTATTATAAAAATCTTGACTGTTTCCAGAAATTAGAAAATGATTTTAGTTCACATATGTTTATTTAGTGTGAGGCCTTATGCTAGGGATGTGATGAGACTAGTGGTCCTTACCTCTGTAGGGCTTATAGTGTAGAGTGGAAGACAAACATGTAACATAATCAAACAACTAAATATTGGAAGTGGGCAAAGTTCTAGAGAGGTGTGGAAGCCTCACATACTGTACGTGGTGTAAAGGGTAGGAAACGGTGCTCTGGGGAAAATGGGGTGAGTTTATGTAGAAGGAGTTTTAGAAAACTTGCAGAGCTGGGGTGGGATGCTCAAGGAGAGATTGAGAGCAAGACAGATCAGATCAGGTAGGTTCTTGTGGAGCAGGGCAAGGACTTGAGGCAAGAAGTTCTTTTATTTTGAGACAAGGTTTCACTCTGTCACCCAGGTTGAAGTGCAGTGGCATCATTATAGCTCACAGCAACTTTAAACTCCTGGGCTCTTTGTGCCTCAGCCTCCCAAGTAGCTGGGCCTCTAGACATGCACAGCTGTGCCAGGCTGGGGTTTTTTTTGGGGGGTGGGGGGAGCGAGTAGAGGCAGGGTCTTGCTATGTTGCCCAGGCTGATCTCTAACTCCTGGCTTTAAGCTCTTCTCCTACTTTGGCCTTCCAAAGTAGTGGAATTACAGATATGAGCCACCATGCCCATCCTATCATTTTTATGCTATGTAATTCTTTCATTCATTCAAGTAGTATTTATTGGGTACTTAACTAAGATTGGGGCTTTGGTTTAGGTGGTGGAGATACAGTGATGAGCAAGATAAACTCCTCTTTCACTAAGCTTACCTTCTAGTGTAGGGTAACAAGAAAATCCATTGTCTGTATTTTCTCATTTTTCATACCCAACTGAGGTTGTTAAACTTCTTGAAGGCCAAGACTTAATGGAGTTTCCACCACACCAGTGTTGAGTACTTAATACTCATTATGCGTTAATTTGGCTGACTGGCTTGTGTTGTTGCATTATTTCCAACATTTCAGGATATCTCATCTAATTAGTAAAGAAATTGGTTCATTCAAAAGATGATAGTTTGTCATCCATAACTCATGAAGAATGAACAAGTCCAGACATAACTGGAGAATGTTTTAAACTGAAAAAATCTAAATCAGGTATATCCTCATTTAGAAACGATTGCCTGCTGAGTTAACTTACCTTACTTCTGGGTCAGCACCATGTTCTAACAAACAAAGCAAACTTTGTGCCTTGCGGTATTCAGCAGCCAAATGAATGGGGATGATAGACTGTGTCTGCTTCAGGGGGAAAAGCAAAATATATTACAATCAGCCCTATATAGTTAAAAATAATATTTGTATTAGCTTGCCATTTCAAAGTAAGTTTATTTAGTATCTTACTGGTTCAATATTTTTCTTGTATATGCATTGGAATTTTCCTTTTCTATTGCCTGTGTTTTGATTACTAAAACTTAGTGAATTTTACATAACAAAGTCTATGTTTTACAGAAAGGCAAATTTACTGAGGAAATAGAAGTAACACCACTCAAAGCTTTGACAGTTTTTGAAAGTTGATTCCTTTGAAGATCCCGTAGTGTACAATTAATGGCAATTGCTATGAAGTCATTTAATCCTTAGCCCATGAGGTAATTGATAAATAGGTGTGATATTTTTTAAGGGTTTGCCAGAGTCACATTATCAGCAGTAAAACCTGCATCTTCATGGCATTTTAAAGATAATGCAACATATGTTCTGTCTATGATTAGCAGAGCTGTTTATGCCAGTTCTTAAAAATATATACAGTATATTATATTATAGTATATAGCAGGTGTCCTCAAACTACGGCCTGCAGGCCACATGCAGCCCACCTAGGACATTTCTAGCCCGCCGGGTGTTTTTGCCGCCGCTGCCTGTCCTGCTTAGCAGCCGACTCATCCCGGGGCCTGCAGTCTGGCTCTCTAGCAGTCTGAGGGACAGTGAACTGGCCCCCTGTTTAAAAAGTTTGAGGACCCCTAGTATAGTATAAGTAGTGGTTTTATATTATGACTACAAGATAAGGGGAGAGGGCAAGATAAAGGGGAGAGTCGCTTCCTTTTTGAAAAAAATGTTAATTATAAAGGCAATAAACATTGTATACACATTTAGAAAATGAAGACATATGTACTAAAAAGGGAGAAAATTCTGCCCTATAGACATAATCACCATGGGTATATTTGAGAAGATGACATTAATGTTCTTCCAACCAAATAGGTTCTAGTCTTTTCTTCAGTTTATGTGTGTTAAGTGGAAGACTTTGGCTGCAGACTTTGGGGAGTGCTGTTCTAAATGTAGAGTCAGCTGGAGATGTACTGTCAGTTGTGGGGCAGTGAGGAGTTCAGTGAATTTGTGAGCATTAGACCATGCTCCTTCCCATGCATCCTGTCTTTTTCTAAAAATGACTGACCAGAAAAGAGTATACCTGGTTCAGAAGTAATCTGTAGCTGATGGAGTTGGCCAGAATGGTCATGGGCTGGTTGACAGGGTGGTTTCTTAGGAGTGCTTTGATTGTAGTGCAGTCTTCTCTCATTATGGCCTCATAGAGTTTTGTGTGAAGTGCAACAGATGGGCCATCTTCCAGGAACTTGGCACTCTCAGTGGCCAGGTCTCTACTTTCTCTCTTGGTTATATTTCCCATGAGAAAAACTTAACAGTGACAACTTAAGAGTGTAGAGGAAAATGTTACAGAGTTGGTTGGTTTCAGTCTCTTTATGATGATTCCTTCAGTTCAGTTCTGGAACTGTTCTAGAATTGTTTAGAATTATATCTGTGAACACAGTTTTTATATTGGAGCCAGACTTACTTATTCAGACTTTTTTCCTTGATCATAGAGTGTCAAATGTCAGAACAGCTTTTAGCTTTTCCTCTCACAAAAACATAACCAAACTATCATCTTATACCTTTCTTTTTTTTTTTTTTTTTTCCATGACAGTCTCACTTTGCCATCCTGGGTAGAGTGCTGTGGTGTCATAGCTCACAGCAATTTCAAATTGTTGGGTTCAAGTTAAGTCTCCTAGGACTACAGGCACCCACCACAATACCCAGCTACTTTTAGAGACAGGGTCTTGCTTTTGCTCAGGCTGGTCTTGAACTTGTGAGTTCAAGCAATCCACGCTCCTCGGCCTCCCAGAGTTCTAGGATTACAGGCGTGAACCATCATGCCCGGCCTTATATCTTTATTTGTGTTTTCTTTTCCAATTCAACCATAGTTCAAACACTAACAAAACTAAAATGGCAATTTATATGTTAAAATAAGAAATTAAAATTATTACGTTTAAAGTAAGAAAGTAACTTTGAATCTAAGTATTTTTAAGTGTTTAATAGACTCTTCCCTCTCCCCATCATAGAGAGCTCTTCACTAGGATAGGAGTGGTGAGGGATATCTACTAGGGATATTTTGGGTCTGCAACAGTTGCTTCAGTAGAACCATTTAGGGTGACCTAGTCATTCCCAACCCTGGCTAATATATGAGTCATCTGGGAACTTTTTAAAAACACCAAAACTTTTGGGCAGCGCCTGTGGCTCAAAAGAGTAGGGCGCTGGCCCCACATGCTGGAGGTGGCAGGTTCAAACCCAGCCCTGGCCAAAAACTGCAAAAAAAAAAAAAAAACCCAAAAGTTTTTAAGTAAAAATATGAACATCTTCGCACTCTGGGCGGCCAAGTTGGGTAGAGTGCCTGAGCTCACATGTTGGAGATCATCCTGAGCAAGAGCAAGATGCTGTCTATAAAAAATAGCTGGGCATTGTGGCAGCCTCCCTATACTCGGGAGGCTGAGGCAAGAGAATCGCTTGAGCCCAAGAGTTTAAGGTTGCTGTGAGCTATGACACCAGGGCACTCTACTGAGGGCAACCAAGTGAGACTCTGTCTCAAAAACAAAAACAAACACACAAAAAAGAAATACCAACATCTTCGGCCAATAGTTTTTAAAAGCTTCTTAGGTAATGATGTATAGACAGGGTTGAGAAGCCCTCATATGGAGTATATGAAGCATGCTCTACATTAATAGTTCTCAAATTTGAAATAATCTTGGGACTTTTAACTGGGAACTAATGCTTACATCTACCTCTAGGGGTTCTGGTTTAGTTGATCTGGGGAATGGCTCAGGCATTCTTCCCAGTGATTCTAATGTATAACCAAATTTGAGAACTGTTGCTCAAATTTTTAACTTTTGAAGAGGCTGTGCTTGCTTCTGAGTTGGAAACTCTTAACATTCACAGTAGTTTTCACTATTTGTTTTAAGAAAGCCAACAAATTGACTTGTTCTGTTTGTTTATAGCCTAGAAATATTTTCCTTCATGGCCCTGATCAGCAAGTAAAAATAGGAGACTTTGGTTTGGCCTGCACAGACATTATACAAAAGAACACAGATTGGACCAACAGAAATGGGAAGAGTAAGTTTTTTGGTTTGTTTCATTAAAAAAAAGATTCAGTTGAACATGTCAATATTTAAAGAGAATCATAAAGATTTAATAGCAAAGGTAAGATAAAGACAAAGAGTGACCATTGTTTCCTTAGTAGCTATGATGCCCTGCTCATAGTGAATGTTCCTTAATGCTGTCAGTGTTAACACTGCAATGTTTAATATGTATATTTTGGAATTACAGGAATACCAACACATACTTCCAGAGTGGGTACTTGTCTATATGCTTCACCTGAACAGTTGGAAGGATCTGAGTATGATGCCAAGGTAGTAGTTGTTGCTTTTTGCCCTTTTATTCTGCACTTGTAAATAACAAACAGTACACTTAAATGCAAAAGTTCAATTGTGTGGATGTTTGGGAGTACTGTAGACTATCTATTGCATCAAACTGCCCTAAGAATAAGCCTC